ATATATACATATATATGCTTGTATATAGAAAATACTAAAAGAAAAACAAATGAAACAGTGAGAAACACATCTATAAATACAAATGTTGATTTTTAGTAAATTATGATAAAAGTGATAATGAATTAAAAAATTGTGTGATAATTTGCAAAGTTGGTTCAAGATTCTATATTTATTTAAGTCTAAAAATTAATACAGTAAAATTTGCTGTAAAGGGCAACTTCCAAAAAATCAGGGATCCTAAGAAATAAATAAATAAATAAATTTGATTTGATAAACATGCATCGATGTTACTTGCTTTTTTATAAATGTTTATACAACACACATCTACATATTTATAAATTAAACATTCCACACATTTATAAACTACATATCTACACATCAATAAGCTACACATCTGCTTGTTTATAAACTATACACCCATACATTTATAAACTTAAATCTACATGTTTTATGTGATATGTTCTATCTTCTGGTGATAATGTACTGATTAAGTCTCTTAGCACCTGTTTTACTGACTGACCTATTGTAGATTAGTATCACTAAGTTTTTTGTTTATGTTGACTAATATACAGTCTTATATTTAAAGGTTTTTTCTATAAGAGTAATGAAAGATCCAATTATTATTAATTGCAACAATTTTACTATGCAATACATCATTGGAAATATATTTCCTTACTTAAAGCTACTGATGGTAGCTGTGATAAATATCATTGACATTTAAGTTGCTGAACACTAAAAAAGTATCAATGTACTGAAAGCTGTTGACTGGAAATACTTTATATAGAAACTTGTTTACTGCAGAGAAATCTCCAAGTTACATTGTATTTACTAATCATTATATTTTAAACATTAGTATTTCATTATGTGTGGTTTTTATTTGGATGTGCCATGTTAACAACAATTGAATAACATCCATTACAGATTTTAGCCCTCAATTATTTAATTTATTTTGAAGTGCAGACAACATCCTGGACTCAGCTACAAAAAGTTTAAAGTGATTTGCCAAAATGTAGTTACCTTGGTGCAATTTCAGCACTAAGTATAGTGTACGTACTACATGAAGTTTTGTGACCAATTTGCATCACACATGTTGAAGTTGGCTTTTAATATTTTTAATTTACTTCTGGTAGGTCTGTTGCATGGTAGTTGTGATTTATGAGCGATATTTTTTGCTTACTTATTTCTGTTACTATTATTTGCATTAGATATTATTATATGGTTGTTTTATTTTAAATCAGCCAAAAAACATTATGAAGATCTGTATTGTTTTTACAAGTAAAAAATGTGGTAAACTGAAATGTTTCATAACCATCAAGCACAGTTAGCTAAGGGTTTTGAAATATCCAAGAACTCTAATTTGATGTCTAAACAACATATCTAAAATTCTGATTGAAGGTATGATTTTAAAAGTTATTTCTAGGCTCACATGCATAATTAAGGAAACATTTTTTTTATTTTTCATATAAAGCTATGTTAGCATTTATTTCTTATGAAATTAAACCTTTTACAGGTTGGTCCAGCTGGATCCCAGTTTGGCTTGTTAGCCTGCATCATTGCAGAGGTCATCCACTGTTGGTCAGAATTGAAACAGCCAGGATTAGCTCTACTTCGTCTTCTTGGTGTTGCCCTTGTTTTATTCATATTAGGCGTATTACCGTGGGTGGATAACTATTCGCACCTGTTTGGTTTTATATTTGGATTCCTTCTTTCATATGCACTGTTACCATTTCTCTCTTTTGGCAAATATGATCGTACAAGAAAAATCATTATCATAGTACTTTGTCTGCTGGCAGTAATAATCCTCTTTCTTGGATTGGTGGTCTTGTTTTACTTTCGTCCAATTAATGAATGTTCATTCTGCAAGTATTTCAACTGCATTCCATTCACACATGATTTTTGTGAAACTCAAGACATCAGCGTTTTAAGAAAAGAAGAGTTCTGACAACAGAGGAGAATGATATTAAAATCCATTAAGTGCCAACTATCAGACTCGACTTTTAGCACTATGTTTGAACTGATTTTTATAAGAGAGCTTTGGTTTGTATATTTTAATAAATTACAACATTTTCCAAAAATATTCATTGCATTTATTTCATCACAAAAATTTAACCATTTTCAACAAATTATTCAAGCTTTGCCTTTCTTCTTTCACTTTATGCTTCCTTGGAGGATTTCACAGAGTTAAATCATTTAGGTTAACTCCTGTTCATTAGAACACTCACCTATTAGTTGTGTAGTGATTATAAGACAATGAACAGAAAACCAATATGACATTTGTACCATAATTACAACATAAAGATAAAGGCAATTCAGCATGTATGTTGAGATAATATTCAATTTAAGCTGCATGTACTCTATATTTGCATGGCCTGCTGTTTATAAAATATTTCCTTTTCTTATGGTGATTTAAACCATGTTGAATTTCTGATGACTTGCATATCATAATATTAACATTATTATGTACAAGACAACTAATTTGTATGTGTAGTTAAAAAAGATGGATTTTAAGTGATAATTCAGTTTATAGTCTGATTATATAAAAGAGCTTACATAAAAACATATGAAGCATGTCACTGTGTAATATTATTTATGTTAGCTTATATGTATTTTTTTCTATATCTACAAGATCAACTACAGCATGGTCTTCACAACGTCATTTATTTTTTCATGTGATATTAATCAAGACTATTTTTCTAAAAATGAAATATAGTTGAAGCTGTTTTTGCAACTGAAATTAGGATGATATGTTAAAATTTATGCAGGAGAAGATTGTCCAGTGAAGATATTTTTCTTTGAGAGAAAAACTTCCAACAGTAAGTTAATAAACTTCATTTCTCTAAAAGTGCATAAGGAAGTCAGTCTAATGAGGCATTAGTTCAGTATGACGAAAGCACAATAGGTCTGGTCTCCCCATAATGAGGGGACCCTTCCTGCAACAGTAAACAGGTTTAACATTGAGCACAATGCCCAGAAATTAGAGAGATTGAGAAGATGTGCTTTTTAATTGCCCTAGTTAATTTTTTCATCATTTTTCAGAAAAATCAAGTTACAAATAGCTTAAAAACAAGATATTACATAACAAGTTACTTATTCAACTAAAACACATTTAAAAAAACCATCAAACAAACCACAGTATTTTATTGACTTCTCTGTCAAATCACACACTATGGCAGCATTGTTTTTAATCATTTTATTTCCTGTACCTTTGTTATGGATGTCTGCTCCAAGTTGATACCATTTCTGGCCAACTTGAGTTATCATAGTGCATATGACAGAGGTGTCATGCATAAATACCAGTCACCTTACATAAGCATTTTATAAATCATTAGAGGCAGCAACCTCTACAACCAATACACAAACACTGAGTGCTAGTGGAATATATTGGTAATTCAGTAAGACTGCCCTCCAATAGTAAAGTGTGGGGTTTATTTTTATTCTTTTCAAAGGTTCTTGCATACCCCCATGTTGGAACCACTGACTTAGTGCATATAGAGTACAAACTTAGTAAACAACTTAAATTCTTTAAGAATAAAAAAAAAATATTTGAAACTTCTCAATAGATGACTTTATTTATAAGACTCAAAGTAGCTAACATGCTGATCCTACACAATTAATCTCAGGTCTCGGCTTGTAACTGAGTAAGTTCTCTTTTATTGGGAGACTGTTCATTATTAGCCCCTGCTAAGATCTTTGCATGAGTGACAATGTCACATTCTCTTAGGGTTCATCCAAGTACACTTGAATTAATAGGTTAGAATGCTCTTTCATTTGTGTTAACAATTTTCTTTTAGTAAATCCCATATGACTTTACTGACAGCAGAGATAAGTAAATTTATAAACTGTGCAAACAACTGTGTATGTTTTTGTTAGCCATTGTGATGATCCAGCAGATGAACTTGATTAAATGTTTACTGCATTTGGAGTTTGTAAGCATTTAAGGTTTAATGCCATTTTGAAATCATTGTGTCTGGAGAAAGCAATATCTCAATTTGAATTTCACACCTTCACTGGGTGTGACTAAACACTTGCAAAAAATAAATTGCATGGGAGACATAAAAAGTGTTTGAAGATACTACATCAGCTTTTGAAGCTCTGAACAATGTCCTTAGACAAGAGACCATAAAGTAGGTGATGCCTTTGCAAAAAAAGGTATGTCATACTGATATATGACAAAGGAAAACCATGTATAAGTGTAAATGAGGCTCACGGGGAACTCCTTACAAACAATGGCAGGCCAGTTGATGCAACTCCAACTGCTGCAGCTTTACTTCTACACGTAAAAGAGCTTGCATACGAGGATGGACACTGTAGGTGACAGAATTGATGCCTTCAACTCAGATGAATGGAAGAGAGGATGTACAAAGATTTGGACAACACTTTCACAAGCATTCAAATCCTACTTCAAGCTTTTGAAATGTGAATATAAAGTGGATAAGGACACTGCAAATATGTGAGACCAGAGGTACTATGTACAGCACTGTAAATATCAAGGAGACCGTGAATGTGAATAAGCACTGAAAGAACAAATTTCTGAATCCTAAAATTGTACATAAAAACAAACTCTGTTCCTAGATAGAAAATAATGTTTATTAGTCATTCAGAAAGGACAGTCAAGTACATGAAATTTGTGAAGTAGGGTTGCATGTAAAATTTTAAGATTTCCAAAAGAAAGACAAAATGGTAGAAAATACACTGCAGCTTTTTTATTTACTCTGTGAAATTCTGGAGCAATAATAATATGAAATATGTATAGTGCTTGCTACTTAATGACAATATTAATTATTTTCCAGATCTGTATCGACCATCTTGAAAATATTGGGTACTTAAAAAGTAATGAATTATGTTACTACCACATTTTAATCAGCAGTTGATGGCCTAACTCTATGCCATTTTTAAGCCAAAACAGTGATCCATATGAGATTTACACACCAAACATCTGCAAGAGTCTGAATCCTCGGAACACTTGTGAACATTTTGAAAAATATCCTTTGAATTGTGCATAATTTCGTGCTTTTAGTATAAAATCCACAATTACTTCAAACATTTGCACCTATCTGTTCAATTATGAATTTTTTTCCTAACAGAATTTAAACATAAATGGTAAGTCTTGGATAGATTTTTTATGATTTGATTTTTGTGTCTATCATAACTTAGTGTGGTGATTTCATGATGTTAGAAAAACGCGTAGGTTCAAAAAGTCTTGATAGAAATGAATAAAAACCCTATAACCCGACTGCTTTTGAAAGGTGGACCTTTCTTCTTCAGAAGAAGAAGAAAGGTCCACCTTTCGAAAGCGCTCAAGTTATAGGGTTTGTATTCAGTAGTATGGTGATCATATTAATAGTAAAAAACTTGATAAGTGAATATTGATGACAGCTTGTATGTTATCCACCTTCAGGGTCTCAAAACTGCTGTATAATGCATTCTATCGTCTTTCATCTCTCTCCTTCCTTCGATTATTTTTTAATTTTACTTTTTTTTTGTCCTGTCGTACCATGCACTTCCAGGGAAAATGAAAAAAACCTTAAAAACTTATGATACTTCAACTCAGACCCCTCCCCGTGGCAACATTCTCTCATGAGCAGAAGAAGAGGAACCAACGTCCATGAACATCCTTGGGAAGAATTCCCATCACCCCAAAACCTACCATTTTTCATTTGATTTTGGCGATTTGTACTGTTGGATAGCTCAGTGGTAGAGCACTGGCCCTGGAAACCAAATGTCTTGGGTTTAAGTTCATGTCACTGAGTCTCTTTTCACGTAAAAGTTAATGTTGAATACTGCAATTAAATACGATAAATGAAAACGTGGTATTCCAAGGATTATCCTACCATATAGTAACATTTTTCCAATTTATGGAGATTCGAGGGGGGGGGGTCCCTGTACGACCCTTGTAACATTGGAAACAAACGAAACATCATCAATAAGAAAGCAACTCCAATCAGTCAACAAATGGGCCCAATCACTTTTTAAATTGCTCTCTAAATTATGTAATATTCAAAAACGGCAAAGGGATTTCTAATACATCAAAAAAGGGGCCCCAATCAGATTTTAAGTGCTCTGTACATTATGTATTATTTTAAAATTGGCGTGCACATGGCCCCAGTTCCACAGAAACGGCCTCTCCCCCTGCCGGGAGCACCGCTTAAAAGGGGCCCACTTTATACCTTAATTTCAAATTCCAAATGATGGAATCGTCCAACTCACTTATACTCAAAATAAACTTTCATAGCCCTGCAATGTTCCGCTGTAAATATTTTTTCCTGCGAAAAAGGGGCATTTATGTGATAAAAATTCATTTGGAAAGTTTGCCTCCCCGCTTTTTCAATGCTGGATACGGCCTTGCCCTTATTGTTTATTTTGGGGTGGGTAAACATTTCCCTAAAAATTAACTCTATTAAAATAAAGTACATCAATCATTTTTTGATAACACAAGACCACCATTTTAAATTTCTAAGTAACTTTTATCATTAGTATTGTATTACTTAACGTTGAAAAAAGATTTATCTGTGTGCCTTAATGAAACAAGTACCGAGATAGACTGTCTTTTTTTATGAATGACTTCATTGAAACAAAATATGGAGCCATGTTTTTCATTGTTTTTCACAGTGTAGTTAAATGAAGCGAAAAATAGGACTAGATCTTTCTCTATGTGTGACTAAATGAAATAAATATCAGACTAAGCGACTAAATTTAGTTAATAAATAGAGCTAGTCTTTGAACCTGGTTTTTGTTTGTGTGACACAAAAATAGGGCTATGCTTTTCACATTTTCTTTGTGCTACTAAATGAAACATAACAGCGAACTAGGGTTCGTACTTTTTTTCTCTCAATGTGACCAAATAATAAAAAAAAAAAACTAGGCTGCGGTTGTGTTTTTTGTTCTTTATTTCAGTGTGAGTAAACAAAACAAAAGGTCGAGGTAAATTTTGAATTTATATCTGCATAACAGAATGGCAGAAAATAAATTCGACATATAAAAGTATTTTTACACTATTTAGTAAACAAAAACATTATTATGGATTCTGGTTTTCTTTTTCCGAGCGTGTAGTAACTGTTTTTATTATTATTATTAAAGGCAGGACTAATTTCAAATGATAATATTTTCACTCTTTATTATGGCGAAGTTAAAAAGAATTTGTTATTGCGAGTAAGCATATCCAGAATCTAAACATGACTGTTTTGGCGTTTAGCTGTAAGTCATCAGGTCGTCCAGAAGAAACCTGGTGTTCACTACTAAGGCACCAAGAGCAACAGATGTCGTGTGGGCGAAACAACCTCCTGAAAATAAACAATCATCATTGTCGGGTTCAAAGTTTTTAGAAATGAATGGTGATTCAGAAAAAAATATATAGCACAGTGTTAAAACGGTGCATATTGTTTTTGATGTAAGTCATTATAATGTTAACTTCTAAGTTACAACATACAAATAATCATCTCATTGCTATTTTAATGTTTCAATTTCTCTTGAAATGAAAGTTTGATAAGGTTGCAAACGGCAAAGTTAGGCTTCATTCAAATTATTGTTGCTTAAGGGACTTGCTATTACTTATTTGTAGAGGCTCTTGTATCTACACCCTTACCTCCCATGTACCTTTCTTCCCTCTTTGTTCTCTTCCGTATAATATCTGCTGAAATTAAAAAGAAAAAAAAGCAGTATTTACTGATTTTGTTGCCTCGTAAAATCAAGGAATTGTTATGTAACGAAACAATGCTTTTCTTTACGAGATCTGAAAACATGGCAGCATTAAGTTATATTTTATTTTATTCAAAATTTGTATGAATGTTTATAACAATTAGTTATTTGCTATTTAAAATAACTGCTGAAAGAAAAGAAAGCAGAAATCACAAACCTACAATCCATATGACATTAGCACGTAGAAGCAAATAAGTAGACTAATTTTAACAATATATTACTTTTCATTTCTAGAATAGGTTGTGTAAACGATCGTAATATATATGTATATTTAAAATGTGTAAATAAAACCTTAGATAACATTAATACGAATAAGTTTCATGCCTACAAACCCTTCCAATCTGGCTTTTCATTTCTTTTTTTTTCTCCCAAAGTAGTTCCCCTTTATTGATCTCTCTCTCTGCCTACGCTCCTAATTATTATCATATCTCTTAAACTTGCATTTCACAACGTATGGAGCGCGCCTCTTCAGTTAACTGTTTCATTCATTAAAAATATAAAAAAAAAGGGGACGCGCAAGAAAGTATATTTATTAAAGGGCAAAAGTTAAAGTATGCAATAACTCAACTAATTGTTAGGTAAGTCAAAACATTGCAAGTAAACGTCCAATTTCACGACTAACTTCACAAAACGAATCTTCTTCTTTTCACATAGTAAAATTTTTAATTTTGAATATCCAACCACAAAATCGCTACTTTACTTTTTTTACGATATTTCCATTTATATTGTTGTCAACTGTGTTTTTAATGTTTCAATTCAGATTTTAGCTACAGAGCGCATGACGTTAAAGTAGGCCTAGAATACCGATAATGTTTCAGAAGACGTTAAGAAAATCTAGTAACCTCGATTAATATCTTGAAGTGTGACATCAGATATAAATATGAGTGGGCCAGTCAACTAGTAAGGTAGAAGTAAGTGTCAAAGTGAAGTATTCAGCGTGTGAATGCCGGGTAGTTGTTGATTGAACGTCATTCAGTGAAGTATATTTTATCAGTGTTAGTTATCGCGTATATTCAATTACTTGATTGATTAGCCGTGAAACTGTAAAAGTATGTTTACGTTAGACAAGATACCATTAGCGAGGTACTTCCGTTTGAACGTAATTAGTAAACTTGGGCCTCCAATTACAACAGTGTACAAGTAAAGGCAGTTTTTAAAATCTTAAGGAAGAAATAAGCTTATACTTATCGTTACATGAATTGGACTTCAAATTATTTTCACCATATAATTTAAAAGAACCAGCCTAGCGAAAGAACAATACTACGAGCAGGGGTGAAATTCTCAAAAAAAAACAAAAAAGTTGAGGTACTCAGCTGGGGAAGTGGACCCGTTTTTAAAAAAGAAATAAAATATCTACGTGTGAACATAAAAAAAACGACAAAGCAGCTCCAGTAAGTCCCGGTACTAGTACCGCCTTAAAAAAATAAGTTCTGGTACTCAATACTGGTGAGTACCGGCAGAATTTCACCCCTGATTACGACAATATATATCTAACGTATATTAAGTTTACGTTAAGCCTCTGAGCTTTATATTGTTGCGTCAGCGAGTCACGTGACTACTATGACGCAACGTTTCTAGAACTATCATGGTACTTTGTCGAATG